AGCGATCCTACCCAATCTGGAACCTTTGGGAAGACAAAACCCGTGGTCGTAAGTTTCTGGAGGTTCAGCGGCGGAAAAGTGCACCATGTATTCAGTAAGAAGTTGTCACTCAGCTTGTCACTCAACATAGTTATAGTTAGAGAACAAAGGTTTCGTGTGCATAGGTTGCGGAGATCTGGCGATGCATTAACTGTTTACTCGTCCTTATCGAGCTTCCAGGACAGGTTGCGCCGATTCTGATCTTGGAGGACAGCTGGTAGCGGTTTCGATGCCCAAATCCATCGGCGTCATCTTCGTCCGTTTTCAAACATCACCAAGTCCAAGATATATCGCTGTCCCGGATGAGATACAATTTCGAAACAGCAGCAGTGCTTGCATCTCAGCAACAATAAAGTTACTATTAGAACTGCATACGCACATGCGTGGAAACAAACAGAGAGGGCGTGTCAACTGAAACTCTGAAAATGGACATCCACTGCAGACAATGTATAATGTAGCTGAAAACTCTGAAACTTATTTGCAGAACCGGATGATGTTCCTGCTTTTTGGCTTGGTCACATACTCATGTGTCCAGCATCATCATGCAGTGCCAGTGCAGCAGCACCCTTGAGCCCATTCAACAAGAGAGTGATGGCGTCCCCAATCTGCTACTGAAGAACTTTGGTATAAATTTATTGTCTCCTCAAGAGATGGAGTGCTGGGTGCATCTTCATCCTGGGCAACAGAGAGCGTCTCCTTGCCAACGAAAAGGAAGAGGAAAATAACATACAAGTGTTACAGTTCGCATCTTAATTACTCCCTCCGTTCATTTTTGTAAGTCGTTTCAGACAACTCAAAATAGGTTGTTTTGCATATTGTCTGAAATGTCTTAAAGGTCTTATAAAAATGAACAGAGGGAGTAGCTTTTTTGCAACGGCACTAGCCCATTTGGAAACAGTAGCAGTTTGAATCAATCAACAAGGAGTACATGAGGCAAGGAAACACAAATTAAAGAATAGCCTTTTGAATCAATCAACAACAACAAAAAAAGGAGTAACATCTCTAAGAGTTTCCCAGCGAGAGCGATAAATGCATTGCATTACACAACGAAGACGAAGGGGGTACGTGAGCACGAGCAGCTCCAGGCAGCAAAACTCTGTCAGGAGACTGCATTTTTTTTTTCGAGTCAACTCCTTGGCGAGCTTCAGCGATAGCTTGTGGTGATTCAGGGAGGCATCTTCAAGCGGCTCATCCAGGAAACAGAGTCTCCTTTCCAACATTAGACAGGCCACCGAAATAATCATTCATTCGGAGAGTAACACTGCAACAGGCGGGTCACATAAAAAGTTTATTAGTGATTAAACTGTAAGTATGTATAACAACATCCAAATCGCTGAAAAATATGGGAAGAGTGTATGTGTAAAATCACGCATCTAGTCATAACTGAAAAATGTAGAATCTGCTGTTGCAAAACCATATAAGCCCTCCACCTCACATATTTGTACGAACTAATCTCTAGCTGAAGGCTGACCGTCCAGCAGTTATCTCTAGGGACGCCCAGAGAGACAGCGGAACACAAAGATAGATTTGAATAACTACATACCCATTGAGAAAGAACACGCACTTGCTGAGTCACAGCTTGGAAGTGCAAATGTAGAAGGATGGTTCGGAAAGGGCTGCCATGCAAACTCATCCTGAATGTACTGAATCATCTCAAATTATCTGAAATACCTAACTGTTGTGTCCTTGCAAGGTTCTCCAAAATGGCGAGAGATGACCTGCCTGCAAGCGCAGGAGCGGTCTATTTGGCTAGGGTTGATGAAAGGAAGGGGAGCGAGCAAGGTATAGTAAACTGAGCATATTAGGGGCAGAAGCCTTCCATGTTGCAACCAATGACCCATTTTCGTTCGATAAGTTGAAGGAATCTCTCCAGGATATAATAAAAAGAAAACATAGCAAATTAAAAAAAATAAGTGAATTAAAAAATGTCATGTATTTTGATAAAAAATTCACAAGTTTGAAAAAAGGTTCATCGATTTTGAAAAAAGTTCATTGAACTAAAAACAAATTCAAAAATTCAAAAAAGTTCATTGATTTTCAAAGAAAAGTTCAACGATTTAAAAAAACAAAAAAAAATGAAAAAATTGCACAAATAATAAAAAAGTTCGATAAAATTGGAAACATTTTGTTGATTTGAAAAAAAGTTTGTTCATTTGAAAAAAAAGTTCATCGATTTGGAAAAATGTTCTGCATTTTCGAAAAAAGAAAAATTAGTAAAAAATAAAAAGAAGAAAGTGTATAGAAAAGAAGCATAAAAAGAGAAACCGAACAAAACCAGTCCAGAAAAAAGAACAGCTTCCTGCCGCTCGAACCTAGATAGGCCGGCTCATTTCCGAACACTTCAGGCGCCAGTTAACGAAATACATGTTAACTGGCGTTGAAAGCGCCGAATAGGATTGTCTATAACGGGCGCTGAAGGCACCATATAGGAAATGCAATTCCTCCACTCATAATCCCGGGAGCTCCTAACCAGTGCCTTCAACGCACGTTGTTGGGCTGGGTCTTCACTAGCCCATACTTTTTCCACTTTTTCGATCGCTCCAGGTTATAAATTGTTTCTCTAGAAATGAATAACTTAGTAAACTATCTTTCAAAACTGGAATAGATTAGAAAGAAAAACAAATTTTATTACATGAGATTTACGAGTATGGAAAAATAGTTTAAAATTTGGAAAAGTTCATGGAAGTCGACAAAAATTCATAGATTTTTCAAAAAAGTATGCCGATTTTAAAAAACTTGATCGATTCTTCAAAAAAAACAAGAATTTGAAAAGGAGTCCATTGTTTTTTAAACAAGTTCATCAATTTCGAAAAACATCACGAAGTTAAAAAATAGTTCATTGATTTTGAAAAATGTACATCAAATTTAAAAGTCCATTGATTTTGTTTTTGTTTTGAATTGTAAAAAAAGTTCATCGAATTTTTAAAAGTCCATTGATTTTATAAAAAAGTTCAAAGATATTGAAAAAAAGTTCATCATGAAAAAATTCATTGAATATGGAAAAATAAATCATCAATTTTGGAAAAAGTTTTCTCAAATTTGAAAATTGCTCATCAATTTTGATTAAAAAATCATCAATGTTGAAAATATTTCATGCATTTTATAAATAAAATAAAAAAGAGAAGAAAAAAGTAAAGAGATTAAAAGGGAAAAACCAAACAATCTAAATCACGTCACGTTAACAGTAAAAAATGTAAGAAGGAAGAAAGAAGTCACGACAAGTGAGGTGTCTTGGTTGGTCAGCGTGCTTTTTACTGATTGGAGAGCTTGCGAGTGCGATTTTTTTCCCGCACGGATTCCCATTTTCGAGTTCTTAATGGAAGGAAAAAATGTAAATGGGACGGCCCAGCGTGGAGGTGGTATGCGCCAGTTTGTGAATTGCACTTTAACGAGCGCATGAGGTGCCAAATAGGATATGCCCCGTATAGTGCTTTTTGCTACATGGCGCACACACACCCGCCGTCCAGGGCTCCGCTCATTTTCCAATTTTTTTTCTTCCTTCTAAGATTCAAAAACGTGCAAGATGGAGAGGATTCGAACTCAGCGCTCCTTGTTCCGTCACGATGGTGTTAACCACTGAGCCAACATGGTTGTTGTTCCCATGTACCTCTTTTTTTCATCTTGCGGCAAATGTAAAGTAAAAAAAAAACATCACACCCCATGGTTTTTCTTTCTCGTGTTTTCTTCTTTTTGGCCTTTTTTCTACTTTTTTCGTTTCCCTTCTTTTTAGTGTTCTATTACCTAATTTGCAAAGTTTCTTCAAATTCTTAAAGTTTTTTAAATTTTATGAACATTTTCTGAAAATCCATGAACTGTTTTCAATTTTGTGAACTTTTTTTCAAAACTGATGAACCTTTTTGATTCCTGAACTTTTTTATCAAAATTGATCAACTTTTTTCAAATACGTGATTTTTTTTTCAAAATATGGGGAAGTTTTCTTCAATTTGTGATTTTTTTTTCAAAATTGATGATTTTTCAAAAAAAATCCATGATGTTTTGGCAATTTCATGAATTGGTCTTCAAAATGAATGTACTTTTTTTTTCAAATTCGTGAGCCTTTTATCAAAATTGTTGAAACATTTTTCAAAATCCGGTGATCTTTTCTAAAATTAATGAACGTTTTTTCAAAATTGAGTTTTTGTAATCCATGAACTATTTTTCAATTTCGTGATTTTTTTCCAAAATCTTTGAAATTTTTTGATCAAAATTGTTGAAATTTTTTTAAACTCACGAACTTTTTTGAATTTTGTGCTTTTTCAAAATCATGAACTTTTTGCATTTTTTCAAATCCGTGAAAATATATGAATTCAAAACCCTGTTCGTTAAGAGTTAGAAACTCTGTGCTAAGTGCTAACCATATGCTCTTAAAATCAGATGGATCTCATCAATCCCAAAAGCGTGCACATAGGTGAACACACAAGCTTTGTTTGTAGCTGTCTCATGACAACAACCAATAATAATATCATCCACTTGATAACAGAACAACATAGCTCAATCGAAATAAAGAGGCATGATCTCAACAAATAAAAGGAAAGAAGGAAATCCATGAGTAATCACCAAAGTACCATCAAGAACTTGGTGATAGCTTTTCTTAATTAGACCAGGGTTTTTGGTTCTCTTGCCTCTCCTCTCTTTGCTCTTTTGTGCCATGCCTCATGCATACCTTGTACTCTTGGCTTTGGCTCCCTGCCATAGTCTTCTGGAATATATAAGTAGAGACAGCTCAACCTTTTTTGTTCAAAAAAAAGTAATCACCAAATTGACCAGTCTTCTGCCAGTTTTCACTCCATTCTAGAGGTCTGAATGTAAGCATAGAAATTTTGTCAGTATGTATCTGCGATGAAAATTAAGTGAAAAAAATTAGAGCAGGTGGTACAAGTATACAAGCTACACAACTAATATAATTACTCATCAAGATGGCAAGATATATGCATACCTTGCTAATTGTTGGCCTGTCCCTGCTATGTATTCTGACTTTGAGCAACAACAATTGTTGGCCTATTTTTGTGCTTCTTTGCTTCATCTTCCCAAAATCGCATTGTTTGCGCATCAATTGAAGAGCGAAGAGTCACCTCCTTGAGATGATGGAGACATTTGACTGCTGACACATCCAGGCCTTGTATATTCTGAGAAAACAGCTGAAGAGACTCAAGAACAGGCATGGCTCCTTCCATGACCTCAATTTTTGGAAGCTTTGGTGTCTCAAAGCACAGCCCCTTGAGGCTTTTGAATCCATCCGACTGGAAGGTAAATGTGCCATCAACAAAGACGAGAGAATCCTCATCTAGCTTCAGATAGAGCAACAGATCCAGCTGTTGCAGGTCTGACAAATCTTCGCAGCTCAAACCAGTTTTTGAAAGTTGCAGCTCTCGAACTAGAAATCCACCTTTGAGAAAGAAGTCCGGCAATCTTGTTAGTTTACCATGCAGTTTGATTGATTCGAGAGCACAAGGACCTTGTAGGGAGTCAAGGAAATCTATGGAGTCATTGCCGAAATCAATTGACAGTGAGTCTAGGGCAGAATCTTCAGTGAAGCGCTTCTGAAGGGAAGGGACTAAGCACTGGACTAATTTATTTCCTTGAGTACTCCGGGACCAGAATTTAACCTTCCTCAGTGTGGTTATGGCAGACATGATGTGTTGAAAGCCATTGCAACCGTCAAGGACAAACCCTGCAAATGTCTTCAGTTTACTCTCTCTTTCTAAAAGTTTCACCAGAGTATGCCCCGTACCAACTTTGCTTAGCTCAGGAGGTAGCTTAAATCGGCCAAACAGGTGGACTAGCTGTCCCAGGATTAGGACTTCCATAGGCAATTCTATGTTTGCACTTGTCTCTCTCATGTCCAGTATCTGCAAGTAATGTAGCTTTGCAGCTTTACTTGGAAGCGTCTTCACATTGGTGCCTCTCAGGTTCAGATAATTGAGGTACAACAACTTGCAAATCTTCTGGAGGTCTGTGTCCTCAACCTTCTTACAGTTTTCTACATCCAAGACTCGCAGCATCTTACACTTTTCAAAATCCACCAGTTCCTCGCCATCATGGTCAGAGATTGTAAGTGACCTGATACTGGACAGACGGTCCTCTTCGACAGCCCTTGCAGTTTTGCCACTCAGGTAGAGTTGACGAACGGCACTGTCTTTCTTCCCACAATAAGGTTGGCGTTGGCCATTTTCTATCAGAGTGATGAAGTTTCTGCAGGCTTGCTTGCAGATCATGAATTCAAGCAGTACAGGACCAATCTGATATGACTTCACCCTAGAGTTTTGCCTAATGTCCCGCCGATGAATGATGCATCGGTTGAACAGCTCCTCAATTTGGTCGCGAGCGACACTGTTCTCACCTTTTGCCAACAACTCTTCAAATTGGGTGGGAGTGATACTATTACCTTCTGCTGACAATCGCCTGAGTAGGCTTTTCCATTTGGTTCGATCGAACTTCTGGTATATGCTTGCATACAACAAGCAGGTCCTGAGACGCTCATCATCTTTCTTGCTGATGTTGAAACGGAAGCTATCGACAATCACTTGCCTTGTTCTTGCCAAGTCTCTGGTCTGATGACAATCTAGATGAGAACCTAGTTCAGCACAGATATTCCGACAGTCGGCACCAGTCGGTGTTCCATGGGATCTCTTTACTAGATGAGCAATGTCAAGCAAAGCAACTGGCCAACCCTCACATTTCTTCAAGATGCGTTTTAAACCTGTCTCAAAATCAGGTGTACAAGATGTACATGTATCGCCGAAAACTTCCTTGAGAAATAAGGTTTTAGAATCAGTCATGTCAAGAGCTTGCATTTGATGAACACAGCCTCCATTTGAACTGCACCTTGTAGCCATCGATTGAATACGTGTGGTAACAATAATTCTTCCATCAGCTCCCTCCGTAGGGAAGGCCGATTTTATGGCATCCCATTCGTGTACTTCTGTTGCCAGGTCATCAATTACGACGAAGTACCTGACAACGATACAAAAAATTAGAATAACCCAGCCTTTAGGTGTTAGTGGTCTTGCAAGTCGAAAAAGAGCCCAACATGATTATTACATTTTCTGAAATTCGTTCAAAATAATATTTGAAATGTGTGTTGGGAAAAGAATCACCTGGGTCCATTCTGCAGACATGTGTTGAGTTTTTCTGCCAGTATGTCCTGAGGCTGAAGAGAGTTTGGCTTGATTGTTTCTGCCAGATTCAACTGATTAATTATGTCCACGAGAAGATCCCTTGTTTTTTCGTGACTCGACGCCGCCACCCACGCCCGACGAGGAAACCTCCGGGTGATATCATAACTATGGAACACCGACTCCACAAGGGTGGTCTTTCCCAGGCCCGCGAACCCAACGACGGACACCACCTTGAGTTTCTGACCTTCAGTTTCGCGCTCGACCACCTCTGGTTGGCCCTCGGCCACCTCTACAATCTCAGACTCGACATGGACCACCTCTAGGATCTCCTGTTGGCCCTCAACGAACGCTTGCAGGTCTAACAGCTCAAGGAGGGCATTCTTGGACTTGCAGATGCCCACGATATTCTTGGGTTTGGTGTAGATGGTCGCTTGGCATGTTGCCGGTGCAGCGTTGACAGCGGCGGTGCTCTGGACATGCGCGTCTCTCTGTAGAACCAATCCGCTGACACGCTCCCTGAATTCGGCCATCTTCTTGGCATATCTAGTGCGGGTGGACAGAGTCATTGCCGGGTGAAGCTTGCGACGATACCAGGGTGCATCGCTCTTGCAAGTGACCCTGCCTTCATAGGAAACAATGCAGTCCTCTATTTCGTACTTGAGCTCGCGGATCTTGTGAGCCCATACGTGCCACGCCTCACTGCGGTCATTCTCCTCCTCGCTCAGCCCGTGTCCAGCTCCGACTTGTAACGATAACAATTCCATCTCGGTCCTGATCCACTCCTTGTTTCTCGCCAGTGCCTTCCGGAGGTCCTTATCTTTTTTGAGCTTGGTGTTGAGGTTGCCAAAGATGATTGCGCTGCCGCTCTTCAAAACCTGCATACCTGCGGAGACAGCCGCCGCCTCTGCCATGTCACTCTGTTTCGCCTTTGTATTTGGATCACCACTCGATGTCGACCCACGCCTTGGCCTTCAAACAAACACCAATTGAATAGGTGTGGGTATTGCGAGATGAGATAAGCATATAGTACATACATACATTTACTGTCGGCCTGGATGGCAAAAACACAGCTGAATTTCTTGCGCGGAGCTTCTTCACCGGCGAGCTGGTGAATAGGACAGGACAGCACCTGGCAGGCTGCCAGCTCTAAGGATTCCCCGCCGACAAGGAGGCTGTCGAAGATCGCCACGGGTGTGCACCGTGCCTTTGAGCGGCCGGATCCGAGGGCGGTGACAGAGTAGGCGCGCCCAGATCCGTAGGCGGACCAAGTCGGAGGGGAGCTGCAGCTTTGGGATCTGGAGGCGCTCGCGGCTTCACGCAGGGAGGCGCTCCCCCCGCTGGTGGCGACCTCCAGCGGAGCGGGGAGCTGAGTTCGTCGCCGCTCCGCTCCGCTCTCCCCCCGCGGCAAGCTGCTGTAGCGGAGATTTCTCGCACAGGTGTGAAGAAAGAAGGGGGTCTCGTCAACGAGATTCTCGATTGTTCCGTTTTGACGAGGTCCTTAACTTTCGACCAAATACCCAGGGAACGTTAGATTTTTAGCTGTCCTCAAAGCCGTTGGATCATGATCGAATGAATGCTATTTTTTCTGCCAAGCGTCATAATTTTTCTGCCATTTTTTGCGCTACATGGCAACTTTACATGGTATGGCATGGTAAGTTTGGGGCGTTCGCTATGAAAATGCTCCCACAAATGTTCGTCGGATCGCGTTCCCCTTGAAAAAACTTAAAGACAACATGAGGTAATGCAGTCATTTTTATCTCATTGAATTTGTGGCTCGTTCGGGCCTAGCTGAGCTAATGTAGTCTCTAAATCATGTTCTTCACTTTGTTATCAATGTGTCGTCATCGGCACGACATCATGATCTCCATCATCTTGATCTATATCAATGTGTCATCACATGGTCGTCTCGTCAATTATTGCTCTTGCAACTATTGCTATCGCATAGCGATAATGTAAAGCAATTATTTGGCACTTGCATCTTATGCAATAAAGAGACAACCATAAGGCTTTAGCCAGTTGCCGATAACTTCAACAAAATATGATCATCTCATACAACAACTTATATCTCATCACGTCTTGACCATATCACATCACAACATGCCCTGCAAAAACAAGTTAGACGTCCTCTACTTTGTTGATACGTGGGAGACGTATCAACCGCCGCAACACAACCCAGATGTTGAACCTAAAAAACGAGAATGGGTCCTCCTGCCGACGGGACTCAAGCTGGCAATGGTTAACCGTTACCCGCGTGCCCATGGGTAATTACTCTATCAGGGGACGGGGATGTGCTAGCTTTAATGCCCACGGAAAAGCTGATGGGTCAAATACCTTAGCTAGCGCGCAAGACAAGGATGGGGATGGGATAGCATTACCCGTGCCCGTTACCCAGCTTACCGATGAAGGCCTTGCATGCGGGCTCTAAAATTACTAAACCCCATGTAATTCCCGTCCTTACCCCCTCCAAAAAACTGCCACAGGTCCCACCCTTTGGTAAAATGCCCTAAGAGCATCTCCAACAGCCGCACAAAACAAGCGCCGCGTCGCAAATTTTTCCACTTTAGCGCGCGCGCAATCGGTAGAGTGTCTCCAGCGGACGCGCAATAACTGCGCGCGCGGCATATAGAGTTGGGTGCGCGGTCCGAATCGCTATCGCACGCTGCGTATTTGGGACGCCCGCTTCCACGCGCGGCATATAGAGTTGGGCGCGCGGTCCGAATCGCTATCGCACGTTGCGTATTTGGGACGCCTGCTTCCGCGCGCGGCATATAGAGTTGGGCGCGCGGTCCGAATCGCTATCGCACGCTGCGTATTTGGGACGCCCGCTTCCGCGCGCGGCATATAGAGTTGGGCGCGCGGTCCGAATCGCTATCGCACGCTGCGTATTTGGGACGCCCGCTTCCGCGCGCGGCATATAGAG